AGCGAAGTAGAAGTTGTCTGTTAAAGCGATCTATACTGCAGGTAATGTGACCAACTGGGTCACGTTTGCTTCTCACCAGAGCAATACCGATTCGAGGGGTGTTTTGGAAACAAGCCAGGCCCGTCGCACATGCTAATCATGGTGCAAAAGGTTCGTTCAAACTGCAAAAAAACTTGTCTAAAGTAAGACAGCAAAGCAATTTAATTCACGTTTTTGATTTTTGTGAAAGTAAAATATTACTGTGTATGAGAATCCCCATTCCAAATGACTTGAACTCACGAGACCAGTAACTTAATGAGAGATGATGTCAGTGTTGTTTAAGTGATTGAAAATACTCTTCATGACCTTGATTTAAATTATGAAGATCATAATGATGCAGGCATTTTGTACTAACCAAATCCTGTTACTTAAAATGATTAAGGCCGATGCTAACGGAATAGAATGGCAGAGACTAGATTTATTCTTTAAGTATTTAGTTTCTTGACTGTACACCAAAATTTTGTGCATGTATTTGATCCTGCCTTTGAGAAACAAAATCTTTGTATAGGCCAATTGCAAGATATTTCGATACAATTAAAAAAACTGTACATTTAAGTGAGTTATATGATCTCAATGATCACTCATGGGTGCAATCACCGCATTATGATGAATATGATCTGCTTGCGTACCACCACCACCAATTAAGTCCTAGCTTTAGTTACAATAGGAATGTCAAATATAGCTGATACGTCGCGCAGTCATAGTGATAAATTAGATGCTTATGTACCAGAACATGCATCGCATTGTACGTGAGAGATAAAACGCAGCGCTCGAAACTCCATATACATGTTGATGTGCTATAACGTCTCCTCAATAATTGTAAAAGTGGATGCGATCAGTGTAGGCACTAAACCAAAAGAAGACATGGGCAGCAGTGCAATGCACAATTTACGAAACAAAAGGTGAGCAAGACCGAAAGGGTATTTCCAATCAGACTAGCAAAATATCTGATGATATCGAAGCGGTCCAAAGCTCGTACTGTGGCGTGAAATATTGACAAACCTATGGAGTTGACAATCACTAAACTGCCGAATTGCTCGCGAACATTGATCTGATTCAAATCTATATTTTTGCAAAGTACGAAATTTACAAGTATGATTTTGATACTGCTTCTTTCAAAGGTGGGCCTCAAAAGGTTTGTATATTTGCAAGCCTCAAAGCGTTGACATGCAACCATTTAGAGTCATTACACTCAATCGAAGCTTGTACGAACTAGATCAAGCTGTTTCGACTAAGTAATCATGTTTTTAAAACATGGATATTTTGGCATACATTTCGGGTCCATTTGTACCTTTTGTCGATATGGACGTTAAAAATGGATTATGCGACTTTGTATATCGACAACAAGCTTATTGATGGTTATTCTGTCAATTCTAACAGGTACTCACAGATGAAATGCCAATACATTTTCACCTTAAGACACTGGAAAAAAACTGCGATCTATTTTGGCATCGATGTGTCACAGGAGATAAAAATAAAACAACTCAAACCATTCAGAGCGCATGATGACCAGAATGGTTGAAAGGTTTATCCAAGGCGGTGCAAAAGACGGTATACAATCCAATTTGTCAAAGATAAGTCACGACTAATCGTGTAAAAAGACATTTGTATGGATATATTCTCATGTCGATATATGGTGGGGTTTCAAGTTACTTGACAATTAGCCGGGGGTGACCCAGAACAAGAGCCTGTGGTCAAGACAAAGCCTACGTGGAAATAAACGGTATTCGTATGTGTTATTCGACTTCTCGCAACTTTAACACAGAACTGAGCGACGGAAGAGCAAGATACCTAAGAGTGCGCAAAAGACATGCTTACCCTCGAACGTTTCGGTGCTATTCAGGATCCGATCTTGTCGATTAAGCCACTTTCTGGATCGTGTTGGAAACAGCGCCATGAAATATATGACGAGAATTGGATGGCGAAACAGATCAAAAATTTACAAAACGCCTGAACTAGCGCGCAGTTAGATGGTAGTGCCTAATATTCGAGCGGGGGCGGCGAATGGAGTGATGTGGAGGGGCACGTTACGGGGATGAAGAGCAGGCTAGAGTCATGATCCTAATGATGTAGATTATAATCCTACCATCAAATTTGATATTATAATAAGATAGGGGAGCAAGCTCTGGAGTTTGCTTTTCGATAAGCGCAATCCTGTTCGGAGAACTGAAATAAGTTTTGATATTCCTTACAGCGACAAACACTGAAAAGTGAGTGAAATGCTGTCAATGTATGTTTGTCTACAGTGCATTATACTTGGCTAACGCTATTGGTCTCTTCTTATGAGCATCCAGCATTTGCTTATGTGTTTAGATAAACCTTTGATCAATTTTATGCCTTTTACGTGCGTGCCACACTAGTGACCAAGCCAACGAGTGACCGAGGATATGCTTTAATACCTATGAAAGGGCATCCAGATAGTACTTAGTACATGCGGGGTACATTTAACCGTATTATACAGAGACAAATACTTAGACAGACCGATAAGTAAAATTTAAAGTTTGGAATCAAACCTTGCTCACAGCCACTTATAGCTTCACCCTTCGGGCTCGCAACTAAACGCGAGGTAGCAGCATCGTCTGGCGAATGTCTCCGTTTTGGGAACAGAAGATCAAAGGCTAAAATATTTGTATTCCGAAAATCTGTAGAGTTTTATTATCGTCAATAGTTTCTCTTTTTTACAGGGATTTAAAGATTCGATGTTAGAAGTGGATTATGCGAGGTACTGGTAAAGGTGGACATTTTGCTTAGAAACAAATACATCTATTGCTATTTACATGAAAGCTCAGATGAAAAGTGATTATTAAAACATTTAAGTAAAGGTCTCCGAGCAGTACTTTTAATCTCAGAGGAATATTACAATTGTCTTATTATCAAATTATTAATTAGTTAACCCACGCTCATGGGCTTTCACGATCATGGAGTCGGGACAATTGGTGGGTGGCGTGAGCGGGCGCGATTTCGCAAGCTCAAATGTATTCAGCACCATGATTCATTATACCTTCATTTATTACAGTAATAGAGGCTTATATGCCTACTGGGTAAAAAGTATTTGGGTGGGCCTGGGTGGGAAGAGCCTACCCACTCCCAAGGTGTCTAGCCTATAAATGGTGCGGGAAGCGCCAATTTGGAGCTCTTTTTTACATCGGTTATCAACCTTGACGTATTTCTGAAAGCCTATCATTCCAAATGCATGGTGGTGCATCAGCATAACGCTCGAACGTTCACTGATCTTCCATCTCTAACAATTTCTTTCGTCGGATAATTTCAATGTTTACTTAACCACGAAAATCTGAAGCTCCGTCATCGAATTTGTCTTGTTCAGAAAAAGCGTCAAGCTGTAGCTTCGTTTTTATATGCTACAGCTGACTAAAGATTGTTCATGACGAGACCACGTATCATTTGATATCGTGAACCAATGTGGTCGGCACGACTCGGACATTTCCATTCTTCGCAACAACAAGCACTCTGATTGTCTCAGCAAACAATGACTGGATTGTCAATCTTGATCTTCGTCTCCAGCGATAGGCTCCTCCTTTACAGATGTTCTTTTAGTACAAGATGACAAAGCTAGATATTCATCTTCAGCTGTGCCAATAACTAAACTGTTATGCATCATTGAGTTGACAATGACCAGAGAATTGTTAACCGTCACGATGACTTCTAATGTCGAACATCGATTGTCCTTCTAATTTTCCAGTAATCATCTGTAAATGGTTTCATCTTCATCGCACCAGACTTTTCCCGATAGATGCTAAGCTTGTTGGTGTCGACTTCGGGTGACGCACCGCACGAATAGCTACTTTTCAGTGCTTTTAACTTCGTTTCTCATAGTGTAGATCCAATTGACACACTGAGAGCACGATATAGGGTCTTATTCCATTTGTCAAGCAGACGCTTGCTCCAATTTCAGATGACCCGATAAGGGTAACAGCTCCTAGCGTCAATGCTACCGGCAAGATTACACGAATCAGTATGTGCTGAACCCAGTTTTATTGACACATACGTGGGTTCAAGCAATGCAGTACCCAAGCTCATCGCAGCAATCTGTAATTCCCCCAAATTTTTCTTCACCGAGTGACATCCATGACAGGGTCCGCGGTACAAGATCACTACAACCAGTCCAAGCTCAAATACCCCGGTCACCTTCACGTGATGGGTATCGTTTATTCTCAACATAATCCAAATGAGACTGATGCAACTCACCCTCACACCTCACCGCGAAGAAACTGGCAATTCAGAATTACGGCGGTCAACATCCACTTCTCGATTCGAGCCAACATTTACTTCTCGATTCAAGTCAGCATTATGTAAGTCTAGCTTTTTTTTCTTCTGATGCTTTCTATTCAATTGATCATGAACTACTTCACACTTGCTTACGTTAGATTCGTGATTGTCATTGTCCGAGGCAGCTTGACTCCTCTTGCCCTTGTGCCGAACACATTGTCGTCAGGCTTCATTATGCAATTTGCGTAGTGGCTGCTTCACCTGCTACTCACTCGTATGTACTGGCTGTGGTTCAGCCCCTCCCATGGACAAACATGATGTAGACCGACAACACGCGCGAGTTGGCATCCTCGAGCTGGTTTTCCACAAGCGAAGGTGCTCTATCAACAAACACACCCAACATGCCGGTTTCCATCCAAATAATCCGCGATTGGACGCAGGACTAATTGAGATCCCTGCTGTTTGTGCGCTTGCGTAGGACAGAGCTCTGGACAGGAACGGTCGAAGTTGCAGCTCCTTCCACCCACGTGGAGCTGCATCAAGTATCAACTCGAGGAGATTTGCCACTGACCCCGATCCTGAAAACGGTGCCACGAACTTGAACGTGCGACAGCGACTGGAGTTGCCGCCGTTCCCCTTCCACCCGCCTCTCCCCGTCGCCACACGTGTCAACCTCTTCTCGATCTCAATCCATTTCGACAATTCCAGTGTCAAGTTCAGAAGTTGACAACCCCATGGGTTCTGATCCACCTCTTCGCGACGGGTTGTCGCTCTTGCCATCGGTCACCAATGCCTGGACGCGCGTCTCTAGTGCCCTGTGCAGTCGTCTCCCCATTAAGTTGGACGCACCTTCCACGTCATTGTCAGCTCTTGTCCCGTCCAAGTTTCTCGCGGTCGCAAGTGCCGCTGCTCTCGGCTACTACGTCGACCAGAAACTGCTCCTGTCGTCCGACTTGTGCCAAGCAGGCATCCAGGCCGTTGCCTTGCTGCAGGCCAAGCGATACGCCCGCAATGGCACGCTCGTCCCGGATCTTTTCGAGCAAAGCGTGGCCAAGTGGCCGCACAAAAGCTGTCTACAACTCGGCTCGCGGGTGCTGAGCTTCCAACAAGCTGACGAAGTGGTGAACCGCGTTGCTCACTGGGGACTGCACCACGGCTTGCAGGTGGGACAGACCGTGGCGTTGCTCATGGAAAACCGCCTCGAGTATGTCCTCGTATGGCTCGGGTTGGCCAAGATTGGCGTCGTCACGGCCCTTTTGAACACGAACTTGCCGCCCAATGGACTCGTTCATTGTGCGACGATCGCAGACGCCAAGTGGATGATTGTTGGAGAAGAACTCGCTGCTAACCTCAGACACGTGGAGGAACACTTGCCTCACGTTGCCTATTATATCTACGGCAATGGTGGAGCAATGCTGTAGCTCGATGGTTGAGGGGCTTTGGTAGTTGTACTCATGCTGCTGTCGTGTTGTGTATGTGGTGTTTGTGCAATTGCTTTGACGCTTTGTTGCAGGTGAATTGACCGCCGAAGCTGCAACTGCATTCCTGCCTCGAGCTAAGTCGCTGGATGCGGAACTAAGGACGATGAAGACCGAGCAGCCACCGCAGTCGATTCGCAAACATGCGAAGATGTCGACGTCAGACACGGCGCTACTGATCTACACGAGCGGGACGACAGGACTGCCGAAGGCTGCCCGAGTGAACCATTTTAGCATCATTCTGCGCTCGCTGGCCATCAAGTGCTCCATGGATTTGTCCATGAACGACAGACTGTATTGTGCGCTGCCGCTGTATCACACGTCCGGGGGCAACTTGGCTGTAGGGATGATGATTTGTACCGGTGCCACGCTGTGTATCTCGCGTCGGTTCTCGACCAGCAAGTTTTGGGATGAAGTTCGGGCATATGACTGCACGGTCATTCAATACATCGGCGAGATGTGTCGTTACCTGGTTAATGAACCAGTAAAAGCGAATGACAAGGAGAACCACGTTCGTGCAGCTTTTGGGGACGGATTGCGCCCTGACGTGTGGGCGCCATTCCAAGACCGGTTTGGTATTCCGTCCGTGTATGAGTTTTATGGCTCGACGGAGGGACCAATGGGTATGTTAAATGCTTGTACGTCGAAGGCCGACCAGGGACATCTTGGCCGTCGTGGCTTCGTTATCAACGCGTTGACTGGCGTGGCAATCGTCAAGTATGATGTTGAAAAGGACGACTACGTGCGGACGAAAAGCGGGTTTCTTCAGCGATGCGCAACGAATGAAACGGGTGAGCTCATTGTGAAGGTGGACCAGACCGACCTTGTGCGAGGATTCCAAGGGTACTATCGAAACAAACGTGAGTCCAGCAAGAAGGTGCTTACGGATGTATTTAAGAAGGGTGACATGTACTTTCGGACGGGCGACCTGTTCAGAGAAGACGAGAGGCACTGCTGGCACTTTGTGGACCGGGTGGGCGATACATTCCGGTGGAAGGGAGAAAATGTCGCCACAAACGAAGTTCAAGAGGCTGTCTCCAAGTTCCCTGGGCTCAGTGAGATTTGCGTTTACGGGGTTGAGGTCCCCGGTCGAGATGGACGTGCGTGCACGGCCGCCATGGTTTTCGATGAAGAATTATTTGACTTCCGAGCATTTGCGCAATTTGTCAAGCAGCGACTGCCATCTTACGCCATGCCGCTATTTCTTCGCAAGCTACTGACCATGTCTGTCACCGGAACAATGAAGCAAGAAAAGGCGAAGCTGCGCAAGGAGGGTATGAACCCATCCGAAGTTTCCGACCGTCTCTGGGTCCTCAATCGAGACAAGGACAACTACGAGCTGCTTACGAGCAAGAATTACCACCAAATGGTCACCACCTCCCGTCTGTGACCGACGCAGCAGTACCATGTGCGGCATGTTAGATCGTACGTTCAGACGGTTTCCGGTCATGTACATTTTGCATTGAGCCTTCGACCTTTACACGTATACTGTCGATCTTCGATAAGCGTCAGTGTTTCCGCTATTGAGCCAGAAGAGTTTGGACCCCCTTGTGGTATCTTGAAATTCAAGCGAAGGATTCGTGCGTACCGCAATAAACTAGTAAGCCATGCCAGGAAATGGCTTTGCGGGCGACAGATCTTGTACTAGATGTACGCTGATTTGATAGTATGTCTAGTTGACGAGAAATTAGAGACGTTTGGTCAAGTTGACAAGAACTAGAGCCACATCTTGATCATACGCTATTATTGCATGTTGGCATGCTTAGAAGACTACGAGAGATCGTTGTAATCGTACATTCGTAAGAAAATCATGCAGTTAACGGTGGGCGTAGTCACATCCGGGAAATGATGGCGATGGGCTAACGCACTGGAAATGAATGTTGTTCTTACACGTAGCAATTCTTGTTGATTGCTAAGTCAGACAGCATTCGGATAGGCAGTATAACGAGACGGAAGAGATCATGCCCGGAGCTCGGTGAGTAGCACTTATTGCAATCCTACCAGGATTATACCCGAAGATGCGGGCATAAGCAGGCAGCGGCCAACCAAGGATTCGGTACGTGAGAAGGCCGGGTCCTCGCTTCCACACTAATCGATATCGGGTAGCAATGAAGTGGGATGACTGGGGCTTCTACCAGCACCTCGTGATTGCAGTTTTCGAAGATTGCAAAAATGAAGTCGACCATTTAACGCTGCAGACCGACGGATGAAGGGAGTACAATAAGCTGCAGAACAAGCTGATCCAAACGAGATTAAGTTCCTATTGCGTGCGTCAACACAACATGTCTCCGATATGGACATCGGTACTGAAATGTGGACGCACTTCCGATGGTATCAGGATAGCGAGCAGTATAAACAGCCGACTTAGTGAAACATGGGTATCGACGTAAAAGGTTGACTTTTGGTAAAGACATCTACGAGATTACGGCTACATGTACGACCTACATCAGCGCCTAGTAACTCTTAGTGCTAAGATGGATCACTGAATAAACGAATGCCAAATGAACAGTCTACCGAAGAATCAACACTTCCAGTAGCTTTAAATGAGTCAAGATGGTGTCGAAGCACGTAGTCACTCTAGAGAAGCACCAAGACGTGATCCTAAATCTCGTCAGTTTTGTCGGACAAAGGCTGTGTCAGCAAGTCAGGGTGGCGCAACTAGCAAGGCTGACGGTGTGCCAGCTGTCACCGAAAGTAAAGCTATTCAGAATCCGCATAAACGCTTTGTGTACAGCAAGCTTTGGCATCTACATTAAAAGTGCTGGCAGAAAGAAGAAACGGTCGAGCCAAAAGCCAACGGACCGTCTAGCGACTAGGAAGCATCAAGTTTAGAAAATAAGAGCAATATATACATAATATTAAATTTCCTGCGGCCCTCTTCACAGCAGCAGACGTTGACTAACGACACGGGCAACCAGAAGATTCAAAAACTTCACGAAAAATTACTGTGGTGACAACCGTTAATACGGAAGAAGATTCGGCACAAAATCAAGTCAGGGTTTCTGTACACGCCGGAAGCACCTGGCATTGTAGACTTTGCTCATATAATAGTGGCGGTAGAATCACAATTCGTCAATATGCCGTTCTATAACTGTAACAGAGGGTAGATCAAAGAGTGCGGTATGTCTTGGAAATAAAAAGCTGTGTAAGGGTCTCTCATGCCTGACACGCTGGTCTTGGAGAACGAGCATTCTCGACACACTCGGAACCCGTTACCAGGGACAACAAGACCGATAGAGCTAAGGGTGTGGTGTTATCTACATTTGACGGAACGCGCGGCTCTTTTAGAAAGAGATCATACCCATATTACCCTGCTCATCCCTCCAGGTATAATGGACTGGGAGGGTGTCTATCGACTAGCACTCAATATTTGTGCGCTACTACCTTCATTTGAAGTGGGCATTTCGGAGTAAGTAGGACAAGTTCTGGCAAACATGTCACAAGGCATAGAATTTGACGCGTAAGGATAAAGCCGGTAATATTTTTTACTGCGGAAAGACATCCGAATCCATCCTCGTGCACTCACTGATTTGGACATGGAGCGGACAGATCTTGCTACGTGCAATTTATTATTTGTCTAACGGAGCGGTGGGGCACTCCATATGTGCAAGATGTTCAGTCATAAACGAAGCTGGGAAATGTGCAACCCAATATAGCAGCTAACACTGTGGTTGACATGCTGCCTGAAGTTTTTTCCGGATCAGATTAAGTTCGAGCAATCTCATATCGTTCATTTATAAATGGTGCTGACACGAGTGTGTATAAGTCCAAATGAGTTTGTGTGCTGGTCCTGCCGCCAGCGCGGACATAAAGAGATTCGAGGCAAGCGTTACGAGAAGAACAGCCATCGGTGTAATCGCTACCAATATGGAGAGCAAGACAAAGTTGATGACTAACAGAGTATTACTTGTGGCTCAAGGGAGATAAGCATGTGCTTTATATGTGGCAATAACACCTACCTTAAACAAAAATTTTGAGGAGGGTGGAAAGTCAGGAGGAGAAGGTAATCAGTAAAAGAAGTCTCATGGAAACTTCATTTTCAGTATGAGAGATTGTAGGGGTGCGATGACGCTACACAGATCAAGCCCGGCAGTCAAATAGTCAAGGGGTCGATACAGAGGTGACACCTCAGGAGCCGAGCCTAGATGGCGTTCGTGTGTTCAAGAGGACCACCATTACTTGCAGTGTGTGATGCCTTTATAGCTGAAGATGGCAAAGACCTACCGAATTTTTATAACCTGATTACGACGGATGAGGATGACAAAATGTGGTACTTCGACACTGTGTCAAATTCACATGTGACAGAAAGCATGTCGCATTTTGTGTCGTTTCAGAAGATACAACGCATTGCAGATCATACGTGGTGTTGATCTAAATAATGTCGCGTATTGCTGGTATGGGAACCGTAGAATTAGTTACCAAAGTTGGTGCGAACACATTGTTATCTTAACTGTACGTTCCTGGAGCCAAATCTGGTTTGCTCGCTCCGGGCTTCGCACACACACAGGGTTATGAATTTGTAGTTGATATCAAATGCGCTGTTCTCTGTCTTACAAGACGTAGAGGTCGTTGCAATGACCACACCACGTGATTCTACTTGGATTTTTAAGTGTGTTTTCGGTCTCATCGGCTAGAACTCATGACGATATATGTTGTGTTGCTTGCTACATGAAGAGGTACGGCGTGAAAGTAGTGAAACTCGGGCATAAGCGACTATGCCTTATCTGTTCACAGAACCTGAAAACAGTGGTGGACAGATATACATTTCAAGGAATGGTGCTTCTCACCCATCGTCAACACATACATGCAATGCGCGTCATGTGAGAAAGCAAAAGTGGAAGACACATTGGAAGAGACTAGCACAGGATACCAGGAAAATAAAGAGCCAGGTCAAGTGGTGTATGCTGCTTTGCTCATACCTGGGCTTTCAACGCAACTTGATATGAGGAAGTGCTTGTGACTATACCGACTAATTCCTGATTCATCCACGTGCGCTTGCTCTAAAACAAGGGACAGCAAGATGGCAAATAAGCACATGGTAAGTGTGTTCTTTAGTCAGAGAGGCAGGCAGGTCGAATTATCAGCGGTAGTGCTTATAGTAACGCACGTGCTCACGACAAGGGTGGCGAGTTGTGAATGGCGAGACTTGTCCTTAATCTACATCGAAAGTCCGTCTCAGTCACACGAAGGCATGACAATTATAATAACGGCGCACGCGGGTTTTCCCCGATGCCTTTGTACAGAAGTCGTGCCAAATGCTGTGTACGTAAAAATAGTGCACAAAACATAGGCACGATAGGGGTTCTGTACGAAATGATGCTTGGAGTCAATCCTGACATCCACCACATCGAGATATCCAAAGTACTGGGTTACGTGCATGTACCTGTCTCGCCAGAATATGACAGAGCATGATTCAAATGTTACGATGGTCCCTGTCCTGGGCTACGCAGAAGATGTGGTCGGGTGGAAGATTAATATTCTGGTAAACGCGATACTCAGTTTCTGCCAGATGAAGGTGTCGTCAAAACATTGCGTATCGAGATCGTCATGGTGTAGCTGACGTGGACCAAAATAGCTGTTTTTAGCTTCACTCCACGCACTACAACTCAAGCGAAAAGATGCCACCTTTTGTAAACTGTGATTGCTACACTGATGTTGGCATAATCAATGGTGGACAGACTGCAATCAGCGTACACTCTAATCACATACACTACTAATACGGATGTATGACTGTAGATGCACACAACTACGATGTTAATCTTGCTGCAGATGCTGAGAAAAAAACGATGTTGACGTTTGTTATCGTAATGGTGAAGTTGAATCGATCAATGCAGTTGACGATGACGAAAAGTCTGTGACTAGTACATTTAGATCGTCATATGTCGACTGTGACTTGGGTGATGAAGGCGATTATGTATTTTTAGGTGACAAAGGTGCTACAGTGGCAAGTGTCGTGGGATCTGACGATCGTTCACATCCTCAAAGAAATCTGTTTAAAGGCGATATCGATGTACCGGATTAAGTTAGCTCGTTCAATTTATATGGTGAAATACTCGACCTACATCAGCTCTCGTTTTCTTTACCCAAAAAAAACGGAGACTCGGTAATGATCAGTCGAAATTCGATAATGAAGTTAACTGCGATTGACCTGACAACAGCTTTCGTGACCTTCCACGGCAATAGCTTGTGCTGAACATCGATACGTCCACTTTTAGCGGATCCGGGAAGTACAGCACCATCTGTCATCAATCATTAATCACACACAACCTTGTCTTCTTGAAGCGTTTACACCATACGAAAGAACCTTCTATGGCTCAATAACGCGCTCTCAATCGATCGCGTGTACTTCCGTCGATTGTGTCACACGATCGCTCGTTTGTGCACGATCTCAGCTCAATTGTGTCATTGATGGGTAGTGCGGATGGTTTTAGCTACACAATCGCACAGCTCGAATATGGTGATTCCTTTTACTTGGAGCAGCCCTTCATATCTCTGTTCCTATAATGCGTGGTTAATATCCCACCAGCACATTCTCACATGCCTAGCGCTTACTTCTTATAACTCGAATGTCTGGTGGATGGCATGTGGATGTCTCATTCGCGAAATATGGTATCCGTGGTCAGCAAAAGGTTGTATGCATTCAGATCGGACTAAACGACCTCAATGGATCACCCTTATTTTCTTCCTGCGATTCGCAAGGCGTAACACATGGTAGTCTTGCGAATGGACTGCATGCGCTGTGAGTTTCAGATTACTACAGCCATACGTACTCCAGAGTTTACTTTGTTTACTCCGGCACTTTCGCACTCGAGAGTTGTTTTAGGCGCTCTCTTGGGGCAACAAAAACTTCCTGGTCACATTGCAGTCATGCTAGACAACTCACGGTAGTAACCTACTATGCGAAGCGTAATTCTCTCGCTTGCGCTGTTGAGCCCAAATTAGTGCGATGAAGAATTGCGTCTCTTGTTTCGAGCTCAAAGTATGAAACACATGTAGCTATTTTCTGGTGTCTACTACCAACCAAGAATTTCTCTCTAATAATCTCGACGATGTTGAATCTTTATAGGATAAGTGAGGATACAAAAACAAGTTTGATGAAAACCAAGTACATCAGCGAGAACTCCTGGTCTGCAGACATGCCCTTAGAATAGCGCAATTTTGCAAATAGATCTTCGTGGTGACGAATGCTACTTTCCGTCGAAGTAGTCAGATACTTATTTATGGACCTCTCGTACATCGATAAGCAGACGCTTACCATTATGCCAGCATTAGCCGGTGCGTTGGTGAATAACGCGAATGCAATGCGAGATCTGAGAACTTTAGCGACCTGATTCAAGTCACGCATTGAAGTTGTCGTCGATGTTCTATGACAATCGACGTGGACTGCCACGAAAAACGGGACATCACTACGGCTTTTGTCAGCTGGCAATATAGTTGAGCTAAACATACTAAGGACAACAAAAGATTCTGCAGGTTCGGTTGGAAAAGTGCAGACAACAAGAGTTTTGCTGCTGTTGTGGTTGGTACGCTGTGACCCTACTAGCAGAAGACTTCTTTACAAAAAATAGCTTGTACTATTGTTGCCAATTTCTCAACAGTTCGATGCGGTGTATTATTTGCTCGATAACGACATGGTGCAAACCCGATCCGCCCGTTGAGATTTTTAGGCTCTATATGGTCTTCAGTAGACTCAGAAGCACCTACTGATGCTGATGAATTTCTTCCGTGCGGTACGACTAGACGTACGAATACGCGGCTGAGTTTGCGACGACAAGTGCTTTGTACCAACGGTCTTTGACATAGCAACTGCACCAGGTCATTTATCGCAATTTCGGCTAGTCCAGCGTGAAGTCGCTTGAACCAGTCTTTAAGTTGAGTTGGACGCGATTTGCAACCGTGGCACCAACAACTCGAAACCAAACTGGCGAAGTGATATCAAAAAGAAGATGATGGATCGACGTGGAGGATGAGAATGCACCACAATGGTGTAAAGTGCTAGCTATTGAAGTAGTAAACAGATACTGTGCCCCTTCAACGTAACTTGGCCTTTATCTTCCGTTTTCCCACAATAACTGGAAGAGAAGATACCTCTCGCTGTAAATTACTTCACCACTGTCGCCCTTTGACAGTAGATCCTGCAAGGATAACGAAACACTTTTTCTTGCTGCTACAGCACTCAATTTGTACACGATACAGTAAAGACTGCATGGTGTAGGCGCTGGCAAACAATTCGTGACACCAACCTTTGGGTACACTCGTGGCGACCTTCGCACGATCGCAAGTATTGCCTGACCGCGTGCACGTGTTGACTCATCAAGACATCAGCCATCGCGAGTTACTCAATCTCGCCGCCACTTCTTTTGAGCAGCCTGATAGTCATCGTCTCCGGAAGATTTGATCCACCTCTGCCTTATAAAAGTGGTCTCTTCGTCTCGACTTTCCCTTCTGCTTCTTCTTCTCCAGTCGAAGTTTATGTTGTTCTGCGACTGTTGCTTGTTCCCGATACGATTTCTCTGCCAGAGCAAACTCCAAATTTTCCACATTCTCGTACATGAAATCGACCAGCGTATCGCTATCCATTCCAACAGGGATGAGAATCCCCATCCCTTGCTCCGGAACTTCTTCATCCCAAGACACTTGGGGTTCACCTACGCTCGAATCGGCAGTAACCAAAAGTGTGACCTTATTCCACACGAGTTTGTGCAGACTTAGTTCCATAAAGTTGACAAGCATGAGGTTAGCAATCCAGTAAAACGCGCTCTTCTTCATGTGTGGATCGCGAAACTTGGGCAAGAAAAGTCTCGAATGCAGCAAGCTTGTTAGCACCGCATGTTGCGTTGCTAGAACAAAGAGAAGGCACAACCAAACAACATTGACAAAGGTCAACTCGCACTGCATTTGCCTTCTCGCAATGTAAAAAACAAGCAGAGCAGCACTTACTCGGCCCATCTTCCAAACCTGTCGTCATTTCGTGCACGATATTCTTCTCGCGTGTAAGCATCGCATGGTAGAGTTTATTAAACTCTTTGTGCTCGCGCTGAACAGCTCGATTGTGTTCAGCAGTTCGGATACCATGCATATCTGCCTGGTCTACAACCTTTTCGTCCTCTGCTAGCCATTCGGCCAGTGCCGTCCTCGTCTTTTCCCCTCGTTCTTCCACAACAAGCGGCACGTGAGCCACGTCAAAGAGATCTTGCAAAATTCGTTTCGTCGTGCGCTGCCACTCCCGTGCAAAAGGCGTTTGCAGCGCAGCCTTTGAATCCTCTCGAGCACTGCTCGGTTGGCCATAATGGGACAACGTTCGCTTCACGAGTCGAGCAGGAATCTCGACTGTGTATGTGACTCGGACGAATCCGTCGACTTGCTCCTGAACCTCACGATCGTCCACTGGGACATGAAAAACCAGTGGAAACACCACCGACTCATCACCACCAGCTTCATGTCGATCTTTCAGTGCCAAAACGAGATTCCGAGCATTGCGGACGTCATTATTGCAGCCGCTGGTGGCGAGTTCCAGAAACACATTGAGCATCTTCAGTGCCTGTTCGTTTTCTTGTGCCAGAGCTGGCGCCTGACGCTGCACCGTGTCTGGATGCAGACGAAGCAGTACGGGGGACACATATGACGTCAAGTTCAGTCCTTTTGTATGGCGCGGCGTTGAGAACGAGCGACGCAGCGGAGCTCTGGATAAAAGAGCTCCTCGACGTAACATCCTGATTGATTGGCAGACACAAAGTGGTAATATGTGACGTGGTGCACGTTACGTGTGACGTGGTACGAGTTACGTGTGACATGGTACAAACGAGGGAAAATTGACTTGATGAGTGATACTATCGTCGCTGGATTGCAATGTGGTGCACGGGAGTATATTGAGGCAGTCACGCACTTATGGTCGAAAGGCACGAGGCTTCTTGCGGTCTCGACATGAACTCAACTACCAGATGACAAAGGCTGGCAGCAGGCTAGCCGCAAGCGAATGTACACTATAGAACTTGAGGATTCCCATCTGCTTGTCACGTGCACCTTCGACAAGTTGTTGAAGGCCCTCTTCATCCACCATCGTTGTTGCAGCGCAGTCTTGCTCGTTTAGGCAGTCGGACGTGTAGCGATCCAGAACAGTGAGTTCGTTCGGGAATTGCCGTCGTCGAAGAAAGTCATGGCTTGCACCTTCGTCCACGCTTCTGCCGGGTTGATAATGGCAAAGTCCAGGTACGCATAACCTTTCCATCGATCATCAATCGGGGCTTCAGCACGACCGAACGATTGTTGCTGCAAGATCGGGTACTCTTCACGGACAAACGCGGGCTTCAAAAACGCGTCTGTGATCGGTGTGAAAGGAATCATATTGATCAGGTGCATATGCTCCACCTGTGGGCCGAACCACGTCGTATACGACACCTTCGTGGCTGCAACTTGGCCCGTCATCTTGTTGGCGGCATAAACGGGCTCGTAGATGTTTGAGGAAGACGGCATCTGCCAGTATGTCTGTGCACCGCGGATCTCCAATGCAAGTAGAAGATGGCCCATGTGCTCCACCTCGGGGACTTCAAACGACTTGCCCACCAGATACACGCCGTAGTAGGCGTTGATGGCTTCACTCACACTCTCTTGAGATTTGCCACCGTCGAGAGTGTAGACACCACTGGCAAACGAGTGGCTGTCGAACCAAGAGAAGTGGCGGGTGAACGGGAAAAACGTGCTGCAATACGGTACGATGCATATCGTGTCAATCGCCTTCACCTCTTCCATAGAAAGCCGCAAAACAAACAACTTACTCGTTCTGGTCAGGGCTAGCAATGTCACGCACTATGGACATGACAGCCGCCTTGTGCGTCTTCGCGAAGTCCGGGCGATACTTGCCAACCACGGCGACAGCGTACAAGAAATAGCCATAATGAAAGTGCTGTATACCATAACAGCAACAAGTAAACAACACTCGAGTCAGACACATGGTCCAGATGTTCGTTTCTATGGACAGCAAGAGGTCACTACAGTACGTACATGGTCGTTGTACCAGCCGTTGCCAAAATCGGTCATCCAGAATACACCCTTCAGCCCGTTTCGAGAGCACAGGCCACCCCAGCTGCGATCGTACACGAAGTGGTCACTGTTCTGACCAAGCATCCACGGAGTCAACCACTCTTCAAGCTTGTCGAGAATGCTATCACGGAGATCCTTCTCGCTGAGCTGGTCGGCAATAAGAACCAGACGGGCTTGGCGACCGATCTCTTTTCCAAAGAAATACGGGTCATTTGCCTCCGGCGTGAAAGTCGAGTCGTTCGCCAAGGCAACCTTGATCGCTTCCACGTACTGAGGCTGAATCCGTTCATTCTCTTCATGAAACGAAGCCGTCGGTAGGGTCTCTTGCATCTCCCAGCAGCTGCCGAGTACCGCCGTCATATTCGATTTCAGCGTACGATGCCCAAACTGGCCCAGTACCTGGACACTGCCAGTACTGGTCTTCATTGTTGCCGCATGATGCGGGTTCGCCATCATAAGCAGCTCAGCGGTCGAATTAGCGTCTTCACTCGTCTCACCGTGATCGTTGAACCGCTTCGTTTCCCAGCAAAACGAAAACGAAGCAGTGACGTCGTTGACATCCGTTGAAATTGAAGACCCCACTGGGTACACTCGAGCAGCTTTATCCAGCGCAGTCACTGCATCCTGTGACGCTCCTTGTGGGACAATCGCCAGTCTTGCGACACCCGTGTACAAGTCCGTGTCCACCAGTCGAACCTTCGTAGGGGTCGTCAGTTCGCCCTGCAAATTGTACGGTCGATCACTCTGCTCGTCCGCAAACTGCAGCTGCAATGTCCGGACCCTGTCAAAGTACAAGATCCACTTTTGCTGCGACGTGCCGGTTCCACGAGCACTCGCCCCCGTACCGTAGACTTCCACGTCCAATTCGAAGCGCTTGCTTGTGAACGTTGGCAAGTCTTTCCACGACGTCAGCACGCCGTCGTCCACTTCTTGGTCCACTAGCTTGCCATTAATGGCCACGACCGTCGCGTTCAGCTCCAGCACGGGCAGCACGTCATGGTACTCAACCGTAATGTACGGCGAGCCCCGGACGAGCGGCACTTTCATCCACTTGTTCTTGCTCACGTAGTCATATTGCAACGTGACCGACAAGACGTCAAAGGCCACGACCCGTCTGGACGTGCTATCGCCGTGTCCTAATAGCACCAATGGACCCGCCGCTGCCTCGTCCTCCAGTGCCTCGTTCTTGTGGCTGTAAGCCGTGAAGCTCGCGTCGACGTTGAAGTACTCAGTGATCGCGTCCTTGGTCGCCACGCGACGCGAGTCTCCGTACGAGATTTCCAGTCGCTTTGGCAAGCTCCGGACTGTGTACGGACTTAAGGTGACCTCGCCACAGCCAGCATTCAACCCGTGGCCGTCTGCGACCAGGAAGTTCGACCAGAACGCGTTCGTGGGCAGTGATTGGCCAATCTGCTCGCGAGGAAGCACGAGCTTGGGCGGCACGGGGTGGCGCTTCTCGACAAATGGCGGCCGCATTGTGAGCAGCTCAATCGCAGGGTCGACTGGACGGGAGGTCAACTGGGAGGTGTCGGGGCGGTGGCTGCGGAAGAGGAAGCCGGCGGTGACAAAGGCAGCAATGAGAAAGACGGACGCGAGCGCGTACAGTGCATGGCGGAGAGGGGGGCGGAGGCGGGAGACGCGACGCGGGAGCAACGGAGACGCTTCGTGTAAAGCCATGATACAGAGCCACTTGTGCCGGACGTGGTCAAATCAGAAATGATTGGGATCTCTGAGTTCACACGGGCTGGTCGTAAGATACGCGTGGGGATTCCGTAAATTATTGGCAGACCGGGATTTTAGCCAATGTGAGCGAAGCGAAGATCAAGTACCGGTTTGTTAGATGCGAAGATAAGAAGGGGGAGCGAGTACTGTACTGATATAAAAGACATACAGGTTTTTAATTGCAACGGGCAGAAAAGCCGATCGCATTCTTGCTTTTTAGAAAAGGTAATGTACTGACAGCACTAAAAAAGGTCAAGCACTAAAATTACGGATGCGTCATGAGCTGACGGCATTCTAAAAGCGGATCAAGCACTGAAATTAGAGATACGTCATGAGCTGTTCACAACGACCGGCTGCGATGACAGACTAGTGCCGTACATGGTGGGAATAGTTGTCGAAGCGCGATCGTAAGCGCAAGTGCCTCGATGCGCTGGATGGAAGCGGCGCCAGACAAGATACGCGCTGGACACGACCACGTTGAATAGCCCGCAGAGGACCCACACACTGCGCTTTTGTGCAATTAACACGCCCAGAAGCACGACGATCTTCGGAAGCGTAATCGCCCATGCGCCCAATCTGCCAAACGGGACCACAAATGGACGCTCGGTGTCGCTTTCCACGTACTTTAGGCGCAAGAACGCAAAGAACTCCAGCATCAACGTGAGGCTACAGTTTGCAAGCACACAAACAAACAACGTGTTAATATGCTGCGCACCTGTTCACACTATAATACATTTGCACGAGGGACAACGTACTTGTTAAAAAAGGTGTCAAGCACCACCAAGATCTCGAACGAAAAGTTCATGAGGATACCTGTAGTTACTGTCTGAAAGATCACTGCTGCCACTGGCGTCTCAAAGCGCTCCCACTCAAAAGCGAGAAATGACGGCAGCATCTTGTAGTCGGCTGTCGCCCACAACGCTCGCGAGCTGCAAGCCATGACGACGTTGAACTCGCCCAGCGTTGCGACGACAGCAGCCATGCCAACCCAAACTCCTAGCCAAGGAGTAATTGACATGGCAATGGTCTCCAAAGAACCTTCATGCCACTGCGAAGAGTCAGGCTGCACCATGATACCTGCACCGACTGCACATACACGACGAAAAAGCATAAGAACGGAGTCACTTTGCGAAACCCGATCGATCAAGCCACACGGACCTGGGACAGCGTAGTTGACGGTGATCAGAATCATTGCGATGGTTATGGCGATCGGGTACGTCCTTCCACCTTCTTTGACTTCGCCAGCAACGCATCCAAGAGAATCCCAACCTGGAACACAACAAGAGGACCAACCATTTGCAGTGAGAGACAATTCCAGGCATTGGCTGTCTGCATTCAGCACAGCCTACCTTGATAATTCCACAGTATGGTGGAAAGAAACACCGACCAGTCGATGTTCGGTGCAACGTTCCCCCACGTAGCGAGATTGAAGGTCTCAACTGAGAGCGGTTCCAAGATGAACGGTGCCAGGACAAAGAGCGACATGACCACTGAGACCATCGCCACGGCGCGTAATCCAACTACGTTCGATACAAACACAAACAGCAGTGCCACGCATTTCACCAGCCACCGCTCTGTGCCGGATAGAGCATAGCTATATCCAGACGCCAAAAATGCTTCAACATAGCTGCAGAACAGCACGGGGTACGTAGGCAAGTCGCAGACATTGCTCGCGATGCAATTGAAAGCATTCGCCCAACCAGCGTATTGACCTAGTCCACGTCGCACCCACAAGATATAGCCTCCATTCTCACTAATCATTGAGCTGAGCTCTGCGGTCTATGGCACAACAAATACCCACATTTAAGTCAGTTAGAAGCATTGAGTTTCAGCACATGCACGCTCTCTCTCACCATTAACGCCTGTGGCAGTCCCCACGTGAATGGCAAAAGCATCACAGCTAGCAGCACTGGGTACGGCCCTGCAGCTCGCACTGCATTTTCAACACCAAAAGGTCCTGCTGCCACTGCAAAGTAGGCGATGAATCCTAGCGTGATGTGGTTGATCGTCCGCGTCTTGGTCCTTCCCTTCTTCGTAGCTCCATCACAACCCGACGGTATCTCGAGCAAGTGTTGATCGCTCGGTGTATTCGAATCATTGCACCAGGTCTTCAGTGGCGATCGATCGCCAGACAAAGGAGGCACTTGAAGCAGCTGACCATTCATTTTCTTCGTGGTCATGGCGATGCAGGTCTCCACTGCTTGCGCAGTTACTTCTGATAAGATATCGCGGTATCGATAGTGGTCTATAGAGGTCCAGTGGACGAAGACGTGACGTTGACGATAGCAGCTTCAGTAGCTGCTCGCCATTCCGGAATGACGTTTGGGCTCAGCGTCATGAGTTTCACGTGTGCCACATTACGTGCGACATTGGAGCCACCTCCACCTTGAATGAGTCTACACCAGTCATTCCAAACCAAGTTGGCTGACGCGATCATTTGACAGTTCAGTTTCGAACTCGACCGTTCCCGATCATCACACATCATCCATCCATCCATCCATCCACCCAACGTCTGGTTTTATTGTACGGTGTGCTGATCCAACAGCCCGCTGGTTCTGTGTAGCATGTGCCGGTGGGTATAGTATTAGCGCATACTAATTGATGCGGTACGAAGGGCAAGAGAAGTGCATTCCTGTCCGAAATCGCATGCGCCCTTTGCTGAAAGCTTGGCTCGGTCGAGTCGGATCAAGCTTGATGCTCTGGGTCGTACAGGTTTGATATGTGTGTAGAGATCTGTTCTGTTTTTGCTGCAAGATACACTCTGTTCTTTTCTTCTTCCGTAGAAAAGTCCAATTTTTTTCACTTGCTAGACTGATACTATTCTAACTCACCGCCGCGTTCATCTCTTCCACAGAGTCCGTGGACGCGATGGTCTTAAGAGTAGTGACATCCTTGTCAAGAAATAGGTACACGTAGAAAAGTAGAATACGGTACAAGAAAGCAATCATTTGTTACAGGATCGAAGTGAGGAAGACCTTATTGTTGAGATTTTCGGTGACGATCACAATAGACTACAATTCTCTGATCGATCTGTAACATCATCCAGTATGTACGCAACACTCTATGAACACATCTCCATGCACCACAATCCGTTCAAAGTGCCTCAGTCCCGGTCACTTGTCTCGTCGATACTTCCAGCTCGTAGTCCAGCATAAAGTCTTCGTTCGCTGCAAAGTGAAAGTGGCCTTGCACGATCTTACCGCTCAGCACGTGAGGAAGCCAAATCTTGTCGTCCGCCCACATGCTTCCGAACGGAATTTGAGAGACGTCGTACCACTGCGGCTTCATCTCCTCGCTCTCTGACGGCTCGCCCGAGAACCGGTGCGTCCAAAACACGTGCACTTCCTGCAACACCACCGCAAAGAGCGAACCAATCAGGCAAACACGCGACATCACCTGCAGTCTTTCTTCCTCACACCTTGACTTCTTCGCGCTCCTCAAACGAGAACAGCAGCACACCACAGGACTCGAAATCCTCGCTCCGGACGTGCACCTTCGCTTCTTCCAGCACTTCCCTCGCCGCCGCCGCTACAATACTAGCATCCGTCGCCTCTACTTTACCGCCAAATCCGTTCCACTTGCCCACGCCAAATCCTCGTTTCTTCAAACCCAACAGCACCTGCTGCTCGCCATCCGCAGCAGCGCTGTCCCGCGCAAGAAGCGCTAGCGTAAACAACCTGCGGGGCCAAGTCGGCACAGCTCTCATGAACGTCTAAAACTGTAGCCATTTGTCCAGAAATCAGGTACCTCTCGACCCGCCTAGTCGATATGATAAGTCCTTCGAAACTTTATACGCAACACCGCTCTTTGGCAAGAGAGTGCAAACTTCAACGGTATCTTTGCATGTCTCATTAAAAAAGAAAACAGCGACAGAACAGATCCCAGAGTGGTGGTCATTTCGTCTTCTGCCGTCGTCGTCGTGAAGAAGCCTCTCGACCATCGTGCTGCCGTATCTTTTGACCCGCTGGCCCACCATGCCTGGGTTGCTGGTCATGGCGCTGCTCTCCGTGGGCGTGCCCCTGTCGCTCTGCGTCGTGCCCGCGCTAGCGCGTCTCACAGTCTTCCCCTTGCTCTCAGCGCTCGTGCACAAGTTCGCCGCTGCGTATTTGACCGACAGCGTCCGGATTGAGTTTGCCGTGGGCTCGTTTGCCGTGCGCAAGCGCCACCAACGCGCCGACACGGAGCTCCTGCGTGGCCTCACGATCTCGCTCTTCTTTGTGACGTTGCAGCGCAAGTTTCTCGAGTCCTTGGCGTTTGTCGAGCAAGGACTCGCGCCTGTGGAGCTCGAGCGCGTAGCGATTGAGAAAATTGTGATTTACGTCGCGACGACGTGGAAAGTCGTGGTGAAGCTGGAGGGCGTTACGGTGGACGGCCGAGTCGTGGATCCTAATAGAGAAAACGTGTTTGAGCTGCAAGACGCAGTGGCTATGAAGCTGGCAGAAGCAGCGAATTGGATCAATTTGCTGGATATCGAGCGGAAGAAGACGGAGATGAGGGAGCAGCAAGAGGAGACGCAAGCTGCACGCGCTCCTGGAGCGGCAGTCCAAGCCTTTTGTTTGAAAGATCGCGTGCTACAGCAGATTGCAGCGCAGGTGGACATTCACTTGAGCAACTTACGAGTTGCTATTACGGGACTGACTCCTGGAGCGGCTGCGGTTGATGGCCATGATGAAGAAACGGAAGAGAAGAGCGATACGCAGGCTGATGGAGCTACGAGTAGCTCGACATCCGGACCTTTGAAACCCACGTGCGTGAGCTTTGCTCTGGACTCGTGCGACTTACTGTCCGATATGCTGCATGAAAATGCAGACGAGGCGTTGCAGTTGATTTTGACGTCGGAGGAGATCAAGGTGGAGCACGCGATGAGCGTAAAAGGTGTGAGCCTCTCTGCTGCTGCTGTCGACAGTGAGGACGGGAATGAGAAGGTCGTAGTGGAGAAGAAAGGAGACTTGCTGAAGGGTAAGAGTGAAACCAGCCCTGGCGGAATGCCGCTACTGTCCTTCTCAAGTTTCGAAATAAAGCTGCAAGTGCCACCCATGCCACGAGTACTAGGTATCGTGGAGAATATTGCTCCTATTCCGATGACGAACCGTGAGGCACAAGTGGACCTAGTGTCTTCATCGATAGTTAGCATCTCCATAACGCGTGAGCTGCTGGTTGGGGTGCTACGCGACCTGTTCGTTCCGTACAGTGACCACCAGACTCTGGTGCAGTCGGTGCGGGCATTGGAGCACGACGAAACTGTACGCAAACCCATCTCCGAGGAAGACGAAAAGTTCTATGTAGACAATTTCGACAAGGTAGACAGCAGCAAGTCTTTGTCGAGCCAAGAGAAGATGGAGTACAATAACAAGTTGCACGCACTGGAAACAGCAATGTCGCTCGACAGGATTGTCAAGCTTCGCAGCCAGGCGACTGGCTTAGCGAAGTACTACCGTGGTGACCAAATTGAGCTTTCCCTCGCTGATGTGGCTGCAGTAGTGCAAGAGAATGCAAGCAAGACGAACAACATCATGTTCAGGGTAATGCAGATCGCATTGCGCTCGGATAGTATCGTGATTGGGTTCGTTGAAAGGGGTTGCCAGGTTTCAGAGATGGCGGTGGTCGGCTTTGGCGCCAACGTACGCTCTTATACTATTGCTGAAGGTGATGAAAAGCAGAAGCTGGACGTCGATCTGGTCGTGGGTCAAACGACGTTCCTAGTAAACGTCGAATCTTCAGCTTCGAAAAATGGCCCTTCGACAGAGAAGCTACTGTTTGCAGACTTAAGCGATGTGGCTGTCGAGTCTGATGCGGCAACGGCGCCACAGATGCTGGTGGTCCGCCTAAGCCAGTTCGAAAGTGGTAAACGTAATGTTTGTGCCAGTTTAAACAATGTAAAGGTAGTGCTAGCGGTGGGTGCGCTAGAACACTTCCTGCTATATGCTGACCGACTGAGCACAAAGTCTACTCAAGTTTTGTCGACAGCGCGCCCGCCCCCAGCCCCAGCTGCTTACTCTGAGTCGTTGCCTGCCCCGGTGGAAATTGCCAAAAGTGAGATGGAAACAATGACGAAGGAAGCACCGATGTCTCCATTTAGCTTGCTGGGTGGTATGCTGCTTAAACTTGACGTGAGCATGAGCGATTGCCGCATCCTCTTGCTCCCTGCTCCGTCGTATTCAAAGTCGCTGTTTACGGATATTGATGTGGAGGCATGGCAAAACGACGGCGAGGTGGACTGTCACGTGGATGTACCACTCACATTCAGCATTTGCCTTGATAGCTCGAAAGTAAAGGAGGTGATGGAGTTCAATGCTCGAAGCTTTAGTATCGGCGCGCAATACGTTCATGGTGCAAAGGAGATGGAAATGATCGTCGCCCCGACAAGCGTGGCGTTGCAGTTTACGCTAGAACAAGACGCTGTTGACTCCTTGCTATGCCGCCAGAGTGTAATGGTGCACATGCCAGATGTCGTAGTGTCTGGGTCAGACTTAAGTTTGTCCCTATTGGCGTCTTGTGCCGAAGCACTTGGTAGTGTACAAACTACCACGCCAGACCAAGCCCGACTTCGCCTACTGAGCCGTATGAAGCAAAATGAAATTCGACGTCAGGCTGAAATCGATATGGTTCTTGACAGATTGCACCGTCTCTTCGACGAAATTGACGAAAACAAAAATGGCCGTATTGAACTGGGCGAGCTCCTCCTGTTACTGCGTCGTGTCAAGATTGGTGACACGTTGTTAGAGAGCGAGTTGGAGTATTTGGTTCGCGCACTCTTTAGAGAGATTGACCAGGACGGAGACGGGTTTCTGGAATTCCAAGAGTTGCGAGCATACTTGCGTGATGACCTTTTGTCGAATGAAAGTGCGGCAGCTTCAGCTTCCGATATAAAGCCAGCAAATTGTAGCAACGCTCTCAGCGGCTTCCTCAATTTACGTGGAAGTGAATACCATTCGTTTGAAGTGATTAACAAGATGTGTGAGACGAAGATCACGTTTTCTGAGCAACTCGCAGAGTGGATCAAGCGTCCTGTATTCGTGGAAAGATTCTGGGAATTGTTTGAGAGCGAAGCTCACCTCACGAAACGCTCCCTTGGTGATCAGAATCCGTTGGATGTGCAAAAGAAGTTGGTTCGTTTGTTGAGGAACTACGATGCCGCCAATCTTATCTGGGATGCGTTGGTTCTACCTGCGATGGAAGACGTTTGTACAGACCGTTCTTTTTGCGAGTGGTTGCTGCAGCCGTTTACACGTTGCGGAGGTCTCAGCGATTACCAGAGTGCCGCGAAAGTTATTGCCAAAAAGAAACGCGGTATATTTAGCGCAGCCATGGAGGAAGCAGAACACCTGGTCAGCAAGCTTACGCAGAGCGCCAACCCGGTGAAGAAGAAGCTAGAGCTCACTACAGACGTAAGAATGGGGAACCTTCGACTTGTTCTGACGGACACAGAGTTGCCTGCTCGCTTCTGCCGAGGTGATTTTGTGATAAAGGATGTGAAGTTATCAGTAAGGTTTGCAGGGCAAGAAATTGATGAAGTTGGTCCTGTGGATTGGATAAGTTTGGCTACATCCGGCAATTCCGACTGGACGGGCCTGTTTGGTTTTAAGCTGTCGTCGTCCTGTTACAGTGAAGCTGCTGAGAACATGGAATTCATAATTGAGCCATGGGAACTTGTTGCGGGTCTATCTTCTGGTGATGGCGAGAATGGGTTTTCGGTTCTGATGGAGGCCGCAAAACGATTCCAAATTAATGTGACCCCGAGTGTTCTAAAAACTTTTCGTGCTCTGATGGATGCCATTGACGGAGAAGTGCAACAAAATGGTTTGCAAATGCATCAGAATAGCTTTCACAGCTCTGCGAAAAAGCACAAGGAAAATGATTGTCTGGTGCAAAATTATACCGGGTGCACGGTTGTGTTGAAACTGAGCGGCAGCGATGATGCGATCACGGTGAAAGCGCATGATCGCGTTTCTATCACAAATGGTGTTCTGAAAGACGGAGAGGCTATCCTGGACTCGATCGAAATTGATCAATGGGGCTCTAGCAGCCAATCGGTGAAGCTGCCACATTTCGGCAGCGTTAATGTTGGTGTGAGCACCATAGACGCCTCACAAACAACTCTGTTCATCACAGTATTTTCGCGATTGGAGAATTCGAGGCGACAACATATAGTTCTGCGATCGAACACGTACTTCTGCAACCATAGTTCGGAAAGTTACGAAGTGAGGTACTTAAGTTTGGGATGTGAGGGGAGGAAGGCGGTGGAATCTCCAGTAATAACGCTGCGACCCAATGAGCGCATGGCGTTGCCACTCTCACTATTGATGGGAATTACGGAGTTTTATGCGCGTCCTGTAAATTACGAGCACTGGATCGTTAAGACTTCTTTAAACAACGACATTTTGACATCCAAGGAGGCAATCAAAGAGCTCGACGAGCTCGAGGCAGAGCGTAATGGGAAAACGAAGCAGCACCGAGGCGGTGCTATTGTGTACGGTGAGACCGAGGAGACATGCACGAAGATGATCCAGAAACTGACCTCGAACGTAATTGTGCGTCGTTGGTACCTTCGTTCGCATTTTGAATGGGAAATAGCACTGCTTCCTCCATTTGTTGTCCGCAATTCGCTTCCGTACGAGCTGGAATTTCGGTTTATCGAGTACAAGTCAAGTCCGTTAAAGGACGTGAAGACCGAATTTGCAAAAGTAGATAATCTCTTACGTCGCGAGGGATCTGTCGAACCGTCCACTGGAGTTCTGAGTGGTGTGGTGGAGTCAGGCCACGACGCTGAGGTATCGGGTGTTAGTGGGGGGCATCCTGGATACTTGTCCATTCGCCTCATTGCCAAAGACCGGACTACAGGCAAGCAGGTGGCGTCGCCATGGTCAAAACCGCTCTTGATGATGGTTCACAAAGAAGTCGAGCAGTTTACGACGATACGGGAAAGTATCGAAGCCGATGCCGGTGTCAAGTTCAATATCGATCGAATTACTCTTCCAGGTTATCCTCGTCTCGTGCGCTTTTCTATTCCGTATTGGATTGTAAACAACTCGTCACTTGCGTTTGACTACGCATCCACCGAGCCTGGTGCGAAGCAAACTTCGCTTACGGCCATGAATGTTAGTGTGCCGTTCAGTTACCCTGTCATGACATCTTTGCCTCATGACCGCCTAAGCCTAAAGCCTGTTGCGAATCTCAATCGTCGACCGAAGGCATGGGTTGCACTTGGTGATATGCCGGAGACAGCATTCAAAGCCTCTTCGATCTCCGAGCATGCACTTGAGAGTGCGCGGTGGTCAAAACCGATAAATACGACCGCTATTAATACAATGGGCGAAATTGTGTGCGGTCCGAGCATTTTCGGCGTGAAAATGGAAGGGCTGTATGGCGATTTTGAGCCCGGAGTTTCGCTTACATTGAGTCCCCGGTATTTCGTCCAGAACTGTCTCAGCCAGAAGCTGTACGTGCAGAGTTTTGCCTCGCACGACACTGACCCGCAAAAGGTTAACGAATTGTTCCACACGCGAGGTGTCGACGTAGTGAAGCAGTTACATTTAGCGCTGGAGGACGGCCAGACTACACCGCTGTACCACTTCGAGGCTTTAAAAAGGCATGAGTCTCTGGAACAAAGTCAGCGCTATGTTTCATTCTCATTCTCGGAGGAGTGGAGTAACGATGCTGACAAGAAGAATTGGTCGTTTGCGATTCCAATTAATACGGCTGGAGACGTGTACTTACAAGTGTACTCATCGGTGCGCCAGCGTCATTTAATCTGTCAAGCAAGTGTGCAAGTGGTGGACATGTACGTTTATGTCATTTTGACGGATGTGTCGTGCGCACCGCCGTACCGCATCGAAAACTACACCCCGTTTACGGTGACATGCGCTCAATTGGGTGAGTCGTCTATTTTCAAAACCGGGCAAAAGGAAGCGGCCGCCACCATTGTGCCTGGTGCCTGGCACGCTTTCGCCTGGTTCAATCCACTCTCAAAGGAGCGCCATGTTGAACTCTGTCTTTCACATTTGGATGCGCCAAAAGCGCAGAAGAAGAAATATGATATTGACTATGTTGGCCACTTGGACCCTATTACCATGCGGGTGTCCCAAGACGGGGAGAAACCGCACGCAGTCGTGTTGACTGTACAAGTCGTTGTTGAGGAGAGTACGCGTGTACTCAAGATTGCTGAGAAGGAGCTGGAGCTAAGTTTGCTTGAAAATCAGGACTCGAAAGGAGAGGAAGATTTACGTCACCGGCGTATGCTTTTCGTGTCCTCGTTTGACATCGCGTTTAATGGTTTTGGTTTCTCGTTGCTGGATGGGTTCCCACAGGAAGTATTTTTCGCTTCGGTGGACGTAATCAAGGTTCAAAAATCTCCATCCTCGCTGGAATGGACATTTTCAGTCCTGCACTGCCAAGCAGACAACATGTTGTCGACCGCAAAGTTCCCGGTAATTATGAACCCGGTAAATGCAGGTTATAGTGGCAGGTCTCTTGGAAAGGAACCTGAGCCATTTCTAAAACTGGTCGTCGATGCGGATTTGGAAGCTCGTATGGGAACGTACAAGCTTCTTGAGTTCAGCTTAGGTGACTTGGCCGTCAAGGTCGATATCGATTACTTCGTCAGCCTGATAAAGCTACTAGAGCCATACTTGGTTTCAGATGCGACGATTGCACACCGCTCGAGGCGAACGCTGGAGGGCACGCTTGATCGTCGCGCACCACCCATGCCCATAATGTTGTCAACTGCTGATGGCGGCGTACGAACGGATTTGGTGTACTTCGACGTCTTGCGCATTTCGTCATTGTCCATCGAATTAGAGTATTCAATTACGCGGAAAGATATCGTATCGTCTACCGGTGGTGGTCACTCGGTTATTTTCGGCTTTTTGAGCCAAATTATTGGTCTCGTCGGATCAAACTTGAGTGGCTCGCCTACGTTCAATTTCAGTGAGATAGTGATAGTGCGTTGTTTTTCGACGAAGGAGAGACTACAGAGCCAGCTGGTCGCAAATTACGTGCAACAGGGCGTGATGCAGGCGTACCGTCTCTTTGGTAGTGCGGACATCATTGGCAACCCGATCGGACTTGTGGAAGACTTGGGTTCCGGTGTGGTGGAGTTTTTAAAGATCACAAAGGGTGAGTTAACTGGCGGTGCCCAGACTCGTGGTGAAGGAGTAAAGGTGTTGGGCAAGACGATTGTGAAGTCAGGCGCCTCTTCTGTCGCGAAAATCACGGGCTCACTGGATAAGTTTGTTGGCGAGTTCGCAGATGACAACACAGGGGACGCACGTAGTGGCGATGATTCGAGCTCGAGTGACAACGCTGGGATCAAGTTTGCGAAGGACCTCGGTCGCGGATTCACTGGTATATTCACGAAGCCTGTCGAAGGCGCTATGAAGGGTGGCGTGACAGGACTTGTGCAGGGAACGGTGCAAGGTATCACGGGTCCCGGCGTTGTCTTGCTGAAGGGGCTTACATCGACTTCTCACAGTCTTGCATTGGGTGTCCGATCCACGGTCGTGGATCGCTCGCCGTTTGGCGGCCGCCGCCGGAATCCGAAACGTGTGGAAAAGGGCAGGCTGGTCGCAGAGTTTGACGAAAGTCATTACAAACCGGCCCTTTTGAATCTGGAGGTGCTCGGTGCAAATGGCCTGAACTCAGATAAGTCATGTGACCCTTTGTGCGTTGTGCGGATTGATGGCGTGGATGTACTGAAGACTGCAGTGGTCTACAACACGGTGAATCCAGTGTGGCACGAGAACGTGCAGTTGGCACTCACGAGCGACGAGGACGAGGTGCAATTCGTGGTGAAGGACTCGTATGGTGGTACTGTAGCCAAGACAATCGGAAAAAGTATTTTGAGTATGGCACAGCTACAGGATGATTTCAAGCCGCCTGAGTACTCGTCGGATCTTGCGGAATGGGTCCATACGCAGGTAAAACCTGGAAACACCAAGAAGAACGTGAGCCACGTAATCGAGGAGAAGGATTATTCCCTGGTGATGCTTAACACAAAGAAATCGAAGAAGAAGAACCATGCAGCGTCTTTGGGAGACGAGGCACACCAAGTCCTTGTTACGGTTGTGTCTCTACGAGACATGATGGTCACAAGATCGACTGGTAGCGGCATGCTTGGTTTCGGCAATTTGGGCAGTAGCACACCTAACATTTCGCCCTACATCTCAGTGCATGTTGGGAAGAATGCAAACCGGACGAACACTGCAAAAATGTCGTTCTCCAAGAATCAAAAGAAGGAGCAGGTGGGTCACGCATCGTGGGGGGAGAGTTTCACGTTCCCGCTGACAGCTAAGGACCTCAGTCGTGGTGGTGCCGACTCGAGGCTGGTCGTTTCGTTAAAGGACAAGAGTATGATTGTAGATGCGAGACTGGGGTCGGCAGTTATGGAGATCGATGCGCGGACTAATGCAACAGAAGAGATGGTACTAAAGGACGAGTCCGACAAGCCAATCGGATACCTCACGGTGAAGGTCGAGGTTACCGGCTCAGCTACATCGTCTCGCTCGCTGTCGTTCCAGTCGATCGAGTCTGTTGACGATATGACGTTCTTACCGTCAGACGCAGTCAAGGCCGGCACCATCCGCGTATCGTGCAAGTTCGAGTAAGCGCTCTCTTTCTCTACTTGTTGTTTGCCTTGACTATAAATATTACATTGATGCTTGAAGTCTGAAAGTTAAAGCAGCGGTAGTTTATCAAATCGCGATTCAGAGGATGGCCTCCTACCACCACACTCGATTTTACGAAGTGAGTGAAATCTAAAGGGAACCGACTGTCCTGCGCAATCAACGCTTCTTCATGTACTGGCGGTGTCTTCACGTACTGCTTGGTGTGCTCTTCGGTCACTCGCAAGTCGTTGGGAAGGACACAACTGCCCCTGTTTGGGAACCTGCAGTTTCGAACTTGGTCACCACTGATACTTCCACCATGACGCTTCATGTCCTCCAGGTACATCCAATGCGTGGACTTTTTAGAATTTGTACGACCATTTACCGATTTTAATTTGACTGTCGTACATGATGCTCACAGTACAACTTGTTCGGCCGGCCGTACGAAGTCTCGAAAGACGGACAGCGCGAGCGACTGCAACGAGTCCCTGAGTCAATTAGTCACATTTCCACAACCATTGACGTCGTGACTTTAGCTGAAGCCGACGTTCAGATGCAGCGGGACGACATGCTGGCACAATTCCGAAAGTTTGGTTTCCACTATGTCACGTCGATTTTGCACGATCCGGACCCATTTACCAGTTTACTGAACGGTGGAGTCATGGTCGTTTCTAAGTGGCCCATCGTCCGGGAAGCACAGCATGTGTATCGTAATGCTTGTCACTACTCGGACTGCCTAGCAGCTAAAGGCGTCAAGTATGCTCGCATACTGAAGACTGTGGATGGGTCATCCAAGGTTTTCAATGTGTTTGCAACGCATATGCAGGTACACAGCAGTTGGATCTGATGCTGCGGATCAAAAACCTGCATACTGACGTGTGGTGCATGATGAATGGACTGTAGGCTTGGTCTACGCCCGAAGGACGGTCTGACCGTATAGAGCAAGCTAAGCAGGTAACTATGTGGTGATGTTGATCGATACTGCACGCCGCCTAATCTTGTATGTTATAAACAGATGCGTCATTTTGTTGATGCCATTGGCATCCCGCATCACGAGGTGGGACACCAAGTCTTTTAGTGCATCTCATGCAAATGATGTCTGTTTCTAAACTGCCGTGATATTTGGATGCAGCCATTGATTCTTGCCGGGGACTTTAACGTAGACAACCACACTTTTGCGACCGAAGTGGCGCAGTTGGTAGAACTGCTTCAAGCACATGAGCCACATCGGGTTGGTGCGCAGAACTTTACTAGCGAGTGCGTCATGTGCTGCTTTCTTGCAATGCTTTTCGTATTAGCTCAAGTTTCTTGGCCGCGTTGTGTCAAATAGCCCTCACAAGAATGTCCTAGTTGGGCGCGACGGCGCTGCGATCAGTAACAAATGCTTTGCGCAATATGTTCACAATTGGGGACCGGCAAAGGTCCGTCATGTGAATTGGTATGTTCCGACCGCTTATGCATAAACTTATCATTTCTTTTGTGAACTGCAAATAGGACGGCGTATTTCACCCATCACTGCTCACTCGATCGACTTGCAGGATTAATATTGATATCGGCGGGCCTAGTTGGCTTGTGTATGCTCAACCGGATAACATGTGCTATTGCCCGTGCTGTCCGCTCGAGTGGCTAGACTACATTTTGTACGGCAAAGGTACCATAGTACCATTGTTATTGGCGTTTTCGTGATCACTCACTGATCAAGTATTGAGCTTTCTATTTCAGATCCTTACCAACAGCCTAGCACCCTGCCAACGATCGAAGCTTACGTGAACCAAGTTCCACATTTCATGGTTGATTGGACTGCTCCGGAAAGCAGCATGAAAATTGCCTTGGCTGACCTTTCTGACCATTACCCGGTCCTTGGGAAGTACGAGTTCCCTGTGACCCATGGCAAAGGAAAAGATGATGATCCGATGACATATCACTTGGATGGGTGCTCGACTGACGATGATTGCCACTTTCGCAATTTCCGCTGCTACTGTAACGGCCAAAACTGCTATTACGAGGGCAACTACACCAATGGATGGAATCTGGACTCGACACACCCAGTCAACCGCAACTGCTTGTATCAGAAGTCCTCCTTCCGGTGTTTATGTGGACCAACGTGACTAGATGGACGGCATCAATCCAACGCACGCTTCGTTCATGCATCTAATCTTTAAAGTTCAGTCCCATTGTAGATCACTCAGTACACCTACAAACTAAGTGAATGACCCGTTTGTTTCCATTCTGTTGGGTAAAGACGCAATTCCATGGGTATACTTACAAAGGGCGTCAAATGAGTCGTTGTCAGTGTCATCGTTGAAGATAGTCTGGGTGGTGCACGAATAAATACAATAGTTGTCGACGTACAGAGCTACTCAATGAGCCAGATAGTTTCACTTTCTCGTCGACCTATTGAAAACTTCCGTGTGGGTTGTATGCTGAGGCGGAACTACAGGCCTTTTAATGCACACATTCGCTCGTTGGTTCGTTCTGGTTTAACGCCGTGTCCAAATGTAGTCCGGTATTTTGACGATGAAGTCGACGTACTATGCATGCCATACCGAAGGGTTTGCAGCCGAAGCACGAGACAGAAGTAGACGAGACCTAGTCACGAAATTAAGCCGTTCGATCGAATTGACTACCGACAAAATCTTCCCCATTTGGACAGCACATTCACAGGATTCTGCGTACTTGGTACTCTTTGGCTCTAAATACACGCGCAGACTCAACTGGGTTCGCATGACCGATCAACCTTGGGGAACAAGCTGCTTCAACTGGATTTCCTTGCAGGGTTCACTGATACAACACGACATGCTCGGATGAAGCTTAGGCAAGTCTTGACGTGAGCGCATTCGACGGATGCGAAGGCATCTTACCCATAAACTATCAAGAAGGGAAAGACCACAGAATCACGATTCTGAACATGAATCCGTGGTCAGATTGATCACTCAGACGTTGGCAGGTCAAACCTTTGTCTTGTTGTACTTAGGACGCAACCTAGACGGACCCTTCATCCTTAAACCACACTTTTTTGCTTTTCAGGATGCGAAGCCTGCTACCTACACATATCATAACGATCGACACTACAGAAATGGTCTTCGCTGATTCCTCGTGTTGTCAGTTTATTGCTTGACGGCTACTCACGACGTACGATGATCGACAGTACGGCAACAAAGGTCACCGGCTAGGAATTCCTCCGACCCGTAAGTGCTTTATAGTGTCCGCACAAAAATCGTTACGAGAATTAATGAAGTCAACTGCTTTCTTATCAGGTAAGAACGTCAAAGTGGAGGAGCCTTGCAATCGAAGGGCTCGAAGTCCATTACGTTGACCTACCAAACAGATACCGTCGTAACGGACTTCGAGGCCATGCTGTCAAAGATTCACGGCCGAAGCGCTTCCAGTGAATACTACGGCGATCTTGAGCTACAATCTGGTCACGGCCGTCAAACACGATGACATAGGATGTCCTCCTGGCCGTTACACGGTATTCGTCCGCCGACTGTTGTGTTAACGGGATTGTTAGGACACTTTCCTCATAATCAGCTCTCGAAGGCTCGTACATCATCATCGACCGGGTGCTGGCTCACTTTAACTCGTCCTACTTGGCGACCTCTACTTGGCAACCCGACGCCCAGGTGCTACTCAGCGAGCAGGGATACCCGTCGGGCACAAATAGATGAGGAAATACATCTGCATTTTGTTATCACGACCCTGTTTCTTGAGGAACGGCTTCTCGCTGATGCTGCTATTAAGTCTGGCTGCATAGATACTGACGTGCATGAGCTGGTGTCATTTTTAGTGCACCCAGCTCAAGCTACCTCAATGACAGGCCGAGCCCAGACCGCGACGTACTACGCCCGAAGCATCTGCAAGATCTTCAGTAATTTCTGGTAGGCCTCGAACTCAGCTTCTCAATATCTGATGAAGAAAACACAACTTCATGACTGGCAGTTGGTCATCGCTGGTGTATTGAGACCATGGCTCCTCGCTCGTACATGACCCAGCGAGGCACGCCAGGAAATGCAACCTTCCTGCATGGTAATCCTGTCTACCCTATTTTATCTACTCCTGAATGGATACGGTCAAAGCAGCAGCATGCTCATCCGCGTAGTACGAGAAGTAGAACGTACCGGCTCGAGAAGGATAAGCGGTTTGCTGTCTGGTCCACACTCGGTTCTGTACAGCATAGCTCGATTCTATGCTTGCAGTTCGAGTAGATCAGAAAAAGGCGAACAAAGTTAAGGCATCCCGGCCGCAAGCACTCCTCCTTGAGCTTCCGTGAAGGCTCCGTTGGAGCAGATTGACCGTTCCTGTCACCAACCATTTGCGCGATACTGGTCACGCCAGGTAAATGTTAACCACATGTACTGTTGTAGTAGCCGATGATGTAGCCAGGCCCATTGGAAGACCCAAGACCATGAGAGAGAAAACAGTGCATGTCAGCGGGAGTGGTCTACATGTCAATATGTGTCTCAGTTCACAACTATCGTCAAAGTACTCAAGTACTAGCTCAAAGGGGAGCAAAGAGTCGACGGCTGAATTGGAGAACTCTGGAGCGCACAAGCTAGAGAGCGGACACGTCGTCTGTAACGGGGTGAATCGTTACATAACAATTTATAAGAAATTGGTAATAGAATATAACTATAAGAGTTATATTCTCAGAATATTGTCATAAGGACAAATATTCTGTAGCACTTACGAGTAGTTCCTAATTGGTTGATATAGGCCATTATATCAACCAACGAAGACGCGCCACGACAGACGCACGCAATGAGTGGTGAGCAGATAGTTGATTTACACATTTGTATTTAGACATAGTTAGATGAAGATGAATAGTGATTTATTGCAGACATTAACTATGATAAATACAGTTCTACTTTTTACTTTAACCAAGTACTCGCTTCTTCTTACCGTCTTCCTCTGCACGTACGAGTGTACGTGAAGTTACGAGGCACCGCCTTATTCTGTCATCAGAATAAGTAGCTTGTACTGTCATCAGTACAAGCTTCAGGGTGCCCCGTTACACCTGGTAGCACTTCGTAGTCCGTTCAAGGACCACGTTCACATCCAACATGAATATGTTGGATGATGAAGATGACCAAAGCTTTCACGCTACGCGTGACGGCTACTCCCATTTGAGCGATGTCGGATGGGATGCGGTTGAACGGATGGGTTCAACCATGGGCATCCATGCTGTTAGCGTCATGCTAGAGGCTCTCAATAGAGATGCCCAACATGCTACTATCGCCAAGTTCATTCAAAATGAACTTGACGCTGAACGCGAGAAAGTAGCCTTGCTTCACCAACAAGGTTCTCAACAAGCGGAGTTGTTGAGAGAACAGGGTGCTCAACAGTTTGAACTGTTAAGACAGCAGCAGGCTGCTGCTGGTGGGTCGATGCACTCGCGTCGACCCGAAACCTTGAAGATTGACATCTCCAAGTATAGGAAAGTCGAAGAGGACTCCCTCTTGAGATGGTTCGTCGAATTGGATGACGCCATAAGGGCGCGTTGCATCGACGACGGGGATATGCAAGTTGCATTTGCCCAGTCAAATCTGGCAGGACGTGCCAAGACTTGGGCACTGGGGCTCAAGTTGCACGACCCATATGCGTTTGGGTCGTTGGAAGTCTCCAAGTCGCGGCTCAGACAAACGTTTGAACCGCCTAGAGCTGAGTTCAGGGCTCGAACCGAACTCTTGAAGCTTAAATAGGGTAAGCGTGATGTGCACGCTTACGCGCAACATATACGACATCTTACGAGTTGTATAAGTTCCAATCCGGTGGATGAACACACGTTGGTTTCGGTGTTCATGCAGGGTCTTGCGGATGGTCCCGTCAAGACTCACCTGTTCCGGCTTGAACTAGATTCACTAGAACAAGCCATTTCCATTTCGGAGCAGGAAGACTTCAGTCTGAGACAGGCTCGCGCCAGCTCGACATCATATCGTCAACCGAGACGATATGACAGCGGAGGTCCAGAGCCGATGGAACTCTGTTATGTAGAGAGCGAGAAGGCTCGCTCTACAGACTACAAGAAGTTGCAGAGATGCAACAGATGTCAAAAGACAGGACACTACGCTTACGAGTGTAGTGCCCCTCGTCCAGTGTCTCGCGACACTGGGCGTAGTGACCGTCCACCCATGAGAAAGGGGCAGGGACGAGGGTCCGCTGTTGGTGCAAAGACGCAACAACGGGATGGACCGTCAAAAAACGGACAGGATCAGTAGGTGCGGAGCACCCTACTGGTCCAGCAACGTCAAGAGAATTTGTAGGCCTCTTGATGAAGGTTGCTCCCAACACACAAACGTTGTGCGTTGCTGCTCTAGGTAATGAGATCTCACTCATTACCTTGAAACTCGAAGTGACGAATAAGTTGTCCCTTCGAGCCCTAGTCGATTGTGGGGCGTCCAACAATTTTGTGCGACGCCAATCGCTAGAAGATGTTCACTTTAAATTCAGTGAATGTGACACACCTCCTACGAGGATGACGGTACGTCTTGCGACAGGCGCATCCGTAACCGTCATGAAGCGTATAGTGAAGATCCACTATACGCTAGAAGATACCCAATATGACGATGACTTTATCGTATTGGATTTGGATGACAAATTTGATGTCATCCTTGGAATACCGTGGCTCAGAAGGTACGAACCACGGGTAAACTGGCAACATCGAACAGTAACGATGCCTGCCGCTTGTTCATCAGATGGCCATCTGATGAACGTTTTGGAGCGTCCACAAGCGTGTGGATGTACTACGAGTGAGTGCGATGGCCTCACTTGTGGTACGGTCGTTAGTACGACTGCACAAAACCTTAGTGTACCAAACGGTTACACTTCGGAGCAAAGTTCCGGCGGCTGTGAGGAAACACAGGCTGCGCCGAAGGTCCACCACTCGAATAAGTCGAGTGGAACGGGACAAAGATGTATCCCTAGCGGGGAACATCTAGAAGAGAAACGATCGATCGCTCAGGTTAAGCGAAACGATAATCCTAGATCGACTGGAGATTCTTTCGTAGAGGATCTCGCTGTGGTTGCGCAACCCCAGCTAGAGGAAGTAAAGGGAATAAGTCCCGATCATACAAATACGGCGGAAATAAGTACCCCGAAACCCGCGGGAATAAGTCCCCGGGAAGCCGAAGGAATAAGTCCTTCGAAGCCTGAGGGAATAATTCCCCAGGAACTGACAGAGACATTGAATGTCATAGTCAATAACGGGTCAAGTGTAGGCGCTTATACACTTGATCTGATTGCGCCTCCGAAGTTGACTTCGGAGATCACTCAGTTGCCAACGCGCGAACATAAAATGTTCTTGCGTGATCTGCGTAGTGGCAAAGTCAAGCAGATCTGCGTACTCGTCGCTGACGACGAGTGTGTAACCGACATAAGGTCAGCAACAGTGTTTACTGAGAACGAGAGAGTTCTCAGTAGTTCATCGATGGACGAGAGTGTCCTAGATGAAAAGACACGAATTGAGCGATATGACTCCCAATCGTGGGAATCGCTCAAGACAAATCCTCTCTATAAAGATTTGGTTGAATTCAAGGATGTATTCCCTGAAACCGTTCCGTGTGAATTACCGAAGGATAAAGGTATTCGACACGAGGTCGAGCTCAAACCAGGCTCGAAGTACTGTGTCATGAAGCAGTGGCCACTGTCTCGTGAACAAGTACTTGCGATCGACAAGTTCTTTGCCGATCGTTTAGCTGCGGGCCATGTGAGGGAATCAACTTCCCCACATAGCTCTCCGACCTTCTGTGTGCGAAAAGCAACAGGAGGGTGGCGGATAGTGCATGCATTTAACGAGTTGAATGCTGCAACGGTACCGGCTCAGACGCCGATACCAAGGAAGGACGTAATCATTGATGGTATGTCAAAGAGTACCATCTTTTCGTCCATGGATTTGATGGATGGCTTCTATCAAATCCTTATGCAGGAACGGGATATACCCTATACCGCAGTTAGCACGCCTAGCGGCATGCTCTGGGAATGGCTAGTAATGCCACAAGGGCTTAGTAATGCCCCTGCCACGTTCAACAGATGTGTATCGCATCTGTTGAGACCAGTACGAGAATTCGCGCCGAGTTATTTCGATGACGTATTCATCCATAGTCGAGCTATGGATGGAAAGTCAGACGTTGAGGTTCACAGGTACCACGTCCGACAAGTTCTTACAATCATGCGAAAGCATCAATTTGTATGCTAACCTCAAGAAGTGTATATTTGCAGCAAGCGAAATACCACTTCTTGGATGCATCGTTGGTAAGAACGGTGTACGTCCTGATCCCAAAAAGATCAAGGCGATCACCGACTGGCCTGTGCCGGTTGATGTCAAAGGTCTTCGAAAATTCCTCGGGCTAGCGGCGTATTTGCATAAGTATTCACGCAATTACGCCGAGATGACTGTGCACCTCTCTCGTTTGTTGAAAAAGAACGAGAGGTGGTTATGGAACGCTGAATGTCAGCGCTCCTTTGAGGGTATCAAGAAGGGCTTGATACAATCACCAGTCCTAGCAATTGCCGATCAGGACAGGCCATTTCATGTGGTCTGTGATGCCAGCGATTTCGCAATCGGCTGTGCATTAATGCAGTACGATCTTGAAGGCGTTGAACGCTTCGTCTGCTATCAGTCGCGTCAGCTGCAACCAGCTGAGCGTAACTATCCAGTGCATGACAAGGAACTCCTTGCCATGAAGTACGCACTCGCGAAGTTCAGAGTCTATCTATTAGGAGATAGACCCTTCATTGTTTACACTGACCATGCGTCATTACGCACGGCAGTAAACAGCCCGCACCTTTCACAACGAATGGCGCGGTGGTTGTCATTCTTTGCGGAATACAACTTTACGGTCGAGTACAAACCAGGACGACTTAATGTCGTTGCTGATGCACTCTCACGTCGTCCCGACTTTGAAACAGTCGCGAAACCCAACAGTGAGACAGTCACTGTTGCGGTTATGACGTCCTCAGTCCCATCTACAACGTTGAATGATGATGTGAGGCGGGCATACGCCCAAGATGGTGAGATTGTGAAGTTGTTGACACATCTCTCACAGCCATCTCGAGAATAGTTGAAACGATTATCGTCTGCGTATCGATCTGCATCAGATCGATACACTACTCGCAACGGTTTACTGTACTATACAGCCGTTTCTGGTGACACACCACGTGTTGTCATTCCAGATGATACCGATCTGCGTTTGCGGATCATGTTCGAGTATCACGATGCTCCTATAGGAGGACATCGTGGCCGAGAGAAAACATATCTCACGGTGAGTCGAGACTTTTACTGGCCCCGCCAGTATCAGTTTGTGCGAAAGTACATTCGCGCATGCGAAGTCTGTCAACGAGTGAAGTCAAGTCCTTCACTGCGTGCACCTTTACAGCCTCTACCGGTTCCGGCTGAGTGCTGGGAATCCATCTCAATGGATTTCGTCTTCGGGTTACCCAAAGACGCACGCGGGAATACGGGTATTCTCGTATTTGTTGACAGATTCAGCAAAATGGTACACCTTGTGGCTGTACCAGAGTCAATCACAGCAAGTGGCTGTGCTTGTGTCTTTATTGACACCATCCTCCGACTTCATGGGTTGCCCCGTGAACTCGTATCAGACAGAGATCCACGATTCACTGCTGATTTCTGGCGTTCCGTGTTCAAATCACTCGGAACGCGCTTGAAGATGTCGACATCTGATCATCCAGAGTCAGATGGTCAGACGGAACGTGCCAATCGTGTCCTCGAAGAGATACTTCGAGGATACGTACACTCCTTTACGAGTTGGAGTGAGTTCTTGCCAATGGTAGAGTTCGCCATCAACGACTCGGTGCATGCGTCCACGACACATACACCGTTTTACGTGAATGGCTTACGCCATCCGCGTGTACCCACCTTACTAGAGTGTGACTCTGATTTAAGGGGGGGGACTCGCGCGAGCAAAAACCGATTTGGTTCACGCTCATAACGCTCTGACGAAGAGGTCATTGCGTTTGATGCCGATATCGATAACATCGATATCGAAGAAGATGATGCCAGTGAGAGTGCGGAAGCCCTCACTGAAGAAAAGATTGTTGTCGCTGCAGTGCGCTCACAGCGCACTGAAGCTAACGAGCAAGCAGATGATTTCATACTGGATCGTGAAACGGTAGTCCGTTTTGTGCAAGATTCCATCGCCGAAGCGGTGGATAGACAAAAAGCAAAACGCTGACAGGAATGGAAGGGTAAACACTCTTTTATTTAAAAAGGGTGACTTAGTCCTAATGTCTACGGTTAATCTACCAAAGCATGTAGTGACTAACTTGGGTAGCAGTAAACTACTACCCAGGTACATTGGCCCATTTCGTGTATTGCACCGCCTAGGCAATGCATACACGATCGAGTTAACACGTAAGATGCGAACGCATCCCACGTTTTACGTTGGTCGGCTTAAGCCGTACCATCAGTACGCTGCTTCTTCCGATGAAGAACGCCCTTGCGCTCAAGCATCTCGCAGATAGCCTTGTGCTCCCGATGGTGGGCATCAACAAGGGTCTGAAGAGCAGTTATCTCATCCCGAGACCGATCAACAATCCCACGAGCTACCCTTAGCTCGTCACGAAGAGATGTCAGAGATCTCTCGTTCTCAAGCTGAGCAAAGGCAAACTCAGCTCGATGATTCAAGACAGTGTCCCCCATTTGGAGACGCCTGTCCCGCTCATGTTCGAGATCGTTGCGTAACCCTTGCGTTACGCGATCAAAGAAGCTCTCGGGAACACACCGATCCACATGATCGTGTGGAGAGCGTCTTTCCTCCTCCTCCAACTCCATTAGAGGACTCTCGCGGTGGCCAGCGCTATCTAGTTGAGCAGCTGTTGAACCACCGCGACGTGAATGGACGTCGGACGAGTTATCTCGTCCGGTGGCGCAGCTATCCCCCGTCCTGGGATACTTGGGAGCCCCGCTCCCAACTGATGGTTGACGTACTGGGTCTGGTTCAGCAGTACGACGCGGCACATCCTGTGCCGCAGAAGGATCGCCGGAGAAAGTCTTCCCGGCACGGTCATAAAGGGATTTCAGTTTGTCAATCCCTTCGTACATCTCAATAGAGATACGTACGCGCCACCACGGGCTATTAGGGAGGTAAGCCTCCTTAGGTGCTCGTGCAGAGTTGTTCACACAACACGGGCACGAGTCTCCCCAAGAGAGGCAGGGTGATCCTTTCTCCCTTGACAGACGATGCAGCTTGTAGCGTGCACCTGTCGGGGTTCGCTTTTCAAACTTATCACGAGCTTTGATAAGTTGTCGTTCCAAGCGTCACGACTTACATCCTCAAGGTTATGGATATAGGCGTTCCACGCCTGAAGCAGTGAGGGACCATCATGCTTGTGATTCCCACTGCACCATCGATGTCTAAAGAAAGCATCGATGAAGAATTCATTCTCAGCGCGATAGTTTTTCGCGCTGGGATCAAGGTTATGGATTCTTGACGAATCGAACAATCGTGTTCGATAACGATCACTCGTCGTCGCCGACAAGTGATCCATGACTGATTTGGGAGGCATCCATGCCTTCTTCTCAGGAGCAAGACGCAAGACATTGCGGTCTCACTCTTCCTGCGATGTGCCGACAGAAGTACTGGCACCTCGTTGCGAAGTGGTGTCCATAGGAGAACCGACACCACTGTTAGCGCCCGAGTCTCGCGACCTCGAGCGCCTTCGCTTCGGCGATGGTTCATCTGATTCATCAGATGAACCAAAGATGCTACGGCGCAAAGCATCATCCATGCCACGCTTGGCAGACGGCTTGGATTCGATCGCCGTCGATACGGATCCGTCTTCCGTATCAGGAGAGTATGAGACACCGAGCTCATACTCTGTGAAGACATGAGTGTCTTCATGACCAGCGCCTGCATCACCAAGTGACACAGGCTGGGTCGCTTCAGCAACCGATGAGACATCAGTTGCTGTGGTTTCTGCTTAGGCGTCCGCACAGAGACGTGCGGACGCGCTCTCGGCGGCCTTGCTCGCGCATCGCATGGGCTTGTTACCCATGCGATGAATTGTTGGAAAGTGGACTCGGACCAACAAGTGCAAACCCTGTCCCAAATGATTTGGGACAAGTATCCATTTAGTCAATCAGTCACTAAAGTGACTGATGGTTAAGGGGGGGGTGATGTAACAGGGTGAATCGTTACATAACAATTTATAAGAAATTGGTAATAGAATATAACTATAAGAGTTATATTCTCAGAATATTGTCATAAGGACAAATATTCTGTAACACTTACAAGTAGTTCCTAATTGGTTGATATAGGCCATTATATCAACCAACGAAGACGCGCCACGACAGACGCACGCAATGAGTGGTGAGCAGATAATTGATTTACACATTTGTATTTAGACATAGTTAGATGAAGATAAATAGTGATTTATTGCAGACATTAACTATGATAAATACAGTTCTACTTTTTACTTTAACCAAGTACTCGCTTCTTCTTACCGTCTTCCTCTGCACGTACGAGTGTACGTGAAGTTACGAGGCACCGCCTTATTCTGTCATCAGAATAAGTAGCTTGTACTGTCACCAGTACAAGCTTCAGGGTGCCCCGTTACATCGTCAACCAAAGAAAATTCGCACCTTCAGGCCGCAACGACTGCTTGCGTCGATCGCTCACTCGATTGACCTCATATTTAATCGGCCTCACGCAAGCTACTGAGTTCTGCGATTCCCCATCTCTGTCGTCCACTGACCACACCTACCGTCTGCTAGAATGGCAAAATACGTCGTTCTCCACGTGTGTACGCTCCCCGTGTCTGCTAGCTAGGGTGCCTCATCGATTCCAACAGCCGATAACCTGATTAAGCGCACGACGTCGAACCTGCCCCCAGTCACTCCGCCTGAGATAAGCATGAAACGAATGCTCCGAGGGGCCGATAGAGGAATTGCAGATGCTTCTACCTTCAGCTTTCTAAAGCCTGTCGTATACTGGTTGAAAAAAGGAAAGATATGGTTGTTACAGGGTCAACAAACGCGATCAAGAATCTCGGGAGAAGGATCGCGTCACAGTCGCACAACGAAGTTCGTGATAGGGACAAGGCTCTTGATGCAGTCCATAATTTTCAAATTTCTCTTCTATGATGCTCCCCCGTTCCTCTACGACGACGAACTACTTCACCGTTATCCAGGAAATAGAAACAAAAATGTGCGTGCAATTAGCTCCAAAAAGTACAAGGAGAAGTACGAATTAAAACACCCCAGCATTACCGCTGAAGCAGCAGCATCGCCGTAATGAAGGGTCCGAACATATTGGCTACAAAGAGGACATCCACATGGAGCAGTAAGGCTGTCTGAGAATTTGTGGGCTTCGATAGCAGCATAAACTTTGAATGATACATTTTCTCTGTGGTAGTTGCGTTGTCCGTCCCATTCGTGCATTTACGTAGGAGCCCCATTCTCTTAATTTCTTACGGTTTCAACACGCACGGTATCGGATGAAGTCACTCATATCCGATAGATGTAAAAGTGCCACGTCTAGTTCCATTCAACAAGTCGGTGCGTATCACATCCACGAGTGTTGGAAGTAGCAAAGGACCAAGAAATAACCACGCGCAACTGTCATGAGTACAACAAATCATAATAATGTGAAATGATAGTGCGCGGCAAAGATACTTCTTGATGTAATCTATTTGCATCGTTGTCAAGAACACGTCTGCTCAGTATCTGTGGCTAGCACTGTCGGTATGACACTATATATCAGGAAGGCCTTCGAACAACTCGGTTTGACACAATGAAAAACGGTGTGTAAAACCGCATTTGAAGACCACGCACCTCGCTGCGTATTTGGCCAAGGAATCCGAGCATGCCAAGCTTAGCTTTTGATCATTTTCATCAATCTACCACTTTAACGGACGAATCTCACTGCAGCTACCTTATCATATTTCATTTGTATTGCTTACAGCTTGCATTGCATGAATAAGGCAACTGCGTAAGCCGTGGTGGTATGCTTTGGCACGAGCATTGCATGTTGATCCTTCTTGTTACTAACACACTTCTACGCGTGAACATGTTGACCGTAATTCATTAAAACTTTCGAGCATGGTACGTGTACTTGTTACCCTTGTCAACTAAATTCTTTGGCTCACCCTAGTGGCACCAAATGATCAATTATGTGGTTGCTGTCCACGAATGACAAATAAGTGTCAGCGATCTTTCCCGTTCCACGATCACTGGCAGAGTAGAGAACCTATCAGAACATTTGCTGTATTTTGCGCGGGTCACGTGGATCTGGTATCTTAGGCGCGCCACATTTAGGAGATACAATACCATGAAGTCGACTCAAATCGCGACAACCCGTTCGTTTTTTGATTCATTGGAATGCGCTTTGTGTTAATCCTAACGTTATTCTTAGCTGCGCTTTCAAGAAAAAAATCATGTATTCTGGTAGTGAAAGCGTTCATCGTTTCAAAACTCGACTATCTTTAAAGTTTGGTAGGTAATTTATCACAGATTCGATTTGTCAGCATCGTAAAAATCGTGCGACGAATTCTGTCGAAAAAGCGATACCACTCCATTTCAACAAAATAATACTTTTCGTCATTTTGTCAACGGAAGTTGGTACCATTTCTACCGTAGCCGATGATTTCTAGAAGTATGCATTGACATGAATCGCCCGATCGTACGAGCTGCTGATCACTACATGACACACTTTTACTTTCTACCTGCAAAGCCGACGTGTATTATATTCGCTGTCGCCATCGTCATGCCTGTTTTTCGGTCTCCTCATGTCGCGAGTATAGACATTGGGTGCAGTTTCTCCGACCTTGTTCCTGTTGCTACAAACGCTCGAAAAGATTGAGCCATGTACCGAACAGTATCAGCTTTGCAACATCATTCACTTCATTCCCGGGTCATGTCGTTGAGCGTACACAGCGTGGCCGAAAGTTCGGTCACGTAATACGATTTTTTGAGGTGCGTTGAGTCCTTCCTGCTGAACACTCGGAAGGCGTTTGCAACGATTCCAATGATGATGGCGGCATAGGCGGGAGCAGACGACACCAGTACGACTCCAGTCATTGCAAGGGACGTAGGCATTCACTAGAACTTGCAACGTGCAGCTTTTACAACGTGTGATGCTGGTCAGGATATTTTTATGAACGAGAGAGTACGTGAGCGATATATAGAGATGTGTCCACGCATAATCTGCCAATAGTTGCTGACCTACAGCAAGACGACGTGCCGCTTCCAAGCAGATTGGCTGGTAACGACAAGAATGTCTGGACATGTTGGTATTTAAAAAGTGTCGGTAGCAAAGCGATGAAACGGGGATGTGGTAGATAGAGGATGAGCAAAATTCAGACGTCGCTTTCGACGTTGTCGAATATTGTCAATCTTGTGCTTCGACTCTTCTTCTGGTCATGCATGCTACTAAGCACCCTCCGTCATACATTCTTACCTGCTCGATCAATTCGCTTGTCGCTGTTTGCGAGCTTGTGATATTGAAGACATGAAATGTCCGATGCATGCAGGTTTCAACTTTCGATTGAGCTCCAATTGACGTGAATCTATAGTCGTATATGTACGAGTGGTAAGGATGTCACGCAAAAACGTTTAGCCTTTGTAATGCGAATTGAAATCGGGTCCGTAGCGATGCACCTATTGCAAATGCACGTGAGAGAACGCTGACTACTGTTTCATCTACGATTACTACATGCAAAGCAAGTATCACAAACGCGTTGCGTTTGACGTTGAATCGAGGCGTTTCGAGAAGTGCGGTGATTGACGTAAAGACATGCTGGTCATTTCTTAGGGCCACGATAGAACTTCAATCAAATGTGTAGCGGAGCTAAACCAGTCCACAACATCATTACTTTTTTGATAGATTTGCCGGTACAAGAGACAGCGAAGCTGTCAGGCCGCTAGGTACGTACGGCCTAGTACAGGAGTAATTACAGCGTAAAAAGTAAAAAAGGACAAGTCTGACGTCATTGGAGGACGTCACAGTCTGACGTCCCAGTCTGACGTCATCTAATGACGTCACTGAAGAAGCTTCTAGAAGCTTCCAGAAGGGTAGGCTTAGAATAGCACAGGGTAGCGAACTAAGGACCTATATTAATTCAGTTTCCAATTTACCTAGTGAACGAGAAGTCATCACATCTGGTAGCACTTGTTGGTCTCGCCGTCTGCCGTCCCCGCCGTCTGCCGTCCCTGCCGTCCTGCCGTCCCCGCCGTCTGCCGTCCCCGCCGTCTGCCGTCCCCGCCGTCTCTGCCGTCGTAACCGTAGTAACCGTAGTAACCGTCGTAGCCGTAGTAACCGTCGTAGTCGTCGTCGTCGCTCAAGAGCAGTGATCTGGAGAATCCATCGTAAGTCCCAATCTTTTTTTGGGCAGGGACTCCTTTTCATTGGCTGTAAATCCTACCGGGCCATTATCACTGCTACCGTTATCGAGGTCGTGGTCTTATTGACTATAAATCGACTCGTTTCGGGAATAAGTCAGTTTGGTTAACGGAAGGTTAGTACTTCGGTTCATGACCCTCCACCCGCGCAAGCAACCTACGCCACTTGACATTAACGACTCGCTGACACAGCTATCCGTGACAATGCCGGACGCAGCCTACAAGTGCCGTGCGGACCTACTGGAAGCAAAACGTCGCACCAGACGCATTCTTGTCCGCTTCGAGAAGCACTTGGACACGGCTCAGCGCTCCGACTCGCGCAAGCACATCAAGACTCGGCTTGTGGCGCACGCTAGCGACTTGCTCAGCTTTGAGAGCACTGTGAGCCTGCGCATCTCACGCGAGATTTCCAAGCACACAAGCAAAACCGCCCGAGTCCCGTATTCTGGACCACCAGGGTACAAGGTCGTGCTCGCCCGTCAACAACCGACTGCCAAGTCAACTAAGTCCTGGAAGCCCGGATCAAAGGTTATAAAGAGAAGTACCAAGACCATAGCTCCGCCAAGTACAATTAACTAATCGTTAATATCAGTTAGTTATGTACCGTTACATAATGTCCACCCCGATGACGTCCGATCAGCAT